GATTATTTAGTGTTTCGAATAGAATTAGGGGTTGAGAATAAGAAGAGCATAATTGGAGATTTAGTGATTAGAAGACAAAGAATTGAGAATCGACGAAAAGAATGATCGTTGGCCGTCAGGGATAAGTGAGGATTTTGTAAGAAAAGAGATTTGGCTTATGAGATAGATACTTTGATAATACTTTTCTGATACGTAAACGCAAAGTACATATTTATGTAGAAAATAAACCTAATAATAAACTAATAATATTCGGCTATGACCTAGTCGCCCAACCCTAATAATAAAATAACTAGTACAAAATAATAATATTTTAACACTCCCCTACCTTTCCAAGCTATTTTGCAACAAAAAAATTAACTATTAAGAATTTTCTCGCTACAAAACTGAATGTTGAAGGATTTTAGAAGAGTCGGAATATTTTCAATTGGATAGTCTCAATTAAGTCAATAAAAATATAAAATTACTATATATTGAAAATTTTCATTTTTCATCATCATCTCGAACATTTCAAGCAATGCTCATTCTCGATCCTTTTGGAGTACTTGTAATAGAGTCTATGTTTCATAGGAATCAATTCTTATTTATGTCAACATCTCCTCTCAAATATGATCACATGTGATCACTCCCCTTTTCATATATGACTCTCCGTCAATCTTTCCCCCATTATATCCATTTACTTGGTGCCCACTTCCCTTCTCTTTCCGCTCGGTTAAACAATACAATCATATAATTGCAAATCGCAACAGTTCTCATTCATAACGACCTAGATCCTTCAGAATCCAATGAATAACAATGATTACTTAAGATCAGCTTGCGAATTTGGGAATTTTAAAATTTCAACTATTTATATAGTTTTTTATACAAAAGATATTCTTGTATTGATTAAAAATGAGATCAAACACATTACACCCAGGTATACAACCAAGATAGAAAATCAAAAGAACGACACGTATTCGGTACAAAGAAAGGGTCTTTTTAGCCAACAAGTAGGTTGCCCTATTACCATTCCGACCTCCAAATCGTACGTTAATACCATTATGAATTTCCAACAAACAAAGAACTTCCTTGAGAGTGGCTCCAGAGTGAATATCATCTCTATCGACCTGGTTTATCTTGTTAATGACCACCTTCGCGTCCCCTTCAAAATGAACTTGTGAGAGGCCACAATCCAAGCACCACCCGATGGTATCGCGGAGGACTAATAGTTATACTATTTTTGGGTCATCAATATTATCGATATGAACTCCCCTAGTCAAGACAATCGACCCACTATGATCTTTTACAACCATTCCTCCCGCCGAGTGTGATCCATTTCGTATTGTATCGTCCCACATATATGTTGATGTGGTATGCATATATGTTTCACAATATCAGTATGTCATTTTCCCCTGACTCAATTTATGCAAATAGAGTTGCGTACTAACTGCTTGTGATCTTTTCATTTTTTTCTAAACAGCATAGGTACTGCACATTAATTATCTTCTTGGCCACGTACCACAAGGGGGTGGCTCTCTCAGCGATGCACCACATGAGTTAACTATACAATATACACTAATCATTCCTTATTATTTTTTAACCTCTTTTCTTAGCTTAGGACAATTGAGAAAGACAAGTCAAGTGATAAAAAAAACCGACAACTGCTACGTGCGCTTTCTGCTGCACATATCAAACTTCATCAACTACAATCTTTTGTTGTGGTGTGTATATATGTTTCAGAATTTTAATATGTCATTTTCTCCTGACTCGATTTATGGGAATAGAGTTGCGTACTAACTACTTGTGATCTTTTTTTCCCCCTTAACGGCACAGATACTGCACGCCAATTATCTTCTTGGCCTCGTACTACATGGGGGTGGTTCTCTTTGCGCTAGGGATAATCTACCACACCTTTTAAGTAATAAAAGATTGAACTGCATTAATTAACTGTACACTATACACTAATCATGCCATCTTATTTTTTACCTGTTTTCTCAGCTTAGCAGTCTGGACAATTGTGAAAGACAAGTCAACCGATAAGAACACCAACAACTACTACGTGCGCTTTCTGCTCCACATATTAAACTTCATCAGCTACAATGTGTTAATGTGGTATGTTGTATGTACATATGTTTCACAATTTCAGTATGTCATTTGACCATTACTTGATTTATGGGAATAGAGTTGCATACTAACTACTTGTGATCTTTCATTTTTTGTTTTTTCCCTAAATGGCACATGTACTGCACGCCAATTATCTTTTTGGCTATGTACCACATGAGGTGGCTCTCTCGGTGTTAGGGATAATCTACGACACCTTGTAAGTAATTAAAGATTGAACTACATTAATTAAATGTACACTGTACACTAATCATTGCTTCTTCTTCTTTTACATGTTTTCTCAGCTTAGTAATATGGACAATTGTGAAAGACAAGTCAAACGATAAGAACACCAATAATTATAACGTGCACTTTCTGCTCCACATATCAAACTTCATCAAATACACTGTGTTGATGTGGTATGTACATATGTTTCACAATTTCAGTATGTCATTTGTCCCTAACTCGATTTATGGGAATAGAGTTGCATACTAATTACTTGTGATTTTTCATTTTTTTGTTTGTTTTCCTAAACGGCACAGGTACTGCACGCCAATGATCTTCTTGGCCATGTACCACATGGGGGTGGCACTCTTAGCGCTAGGGATAATCTACGACACCTTGTAAGTAATTAAAGATGGAACTACATTAATTAACTGTATACTATACACTAATCATTCCTTCTTTTCTTTATATGTTTTCTCAACTTAGCAATCTGGACAATTGTGAAAGGCAAGTCAAGCGATAAGAACACCAACAACTACTACGTGTGCTTTCTTATCCACAAACTTCATCAACTACAATATGTTGATGTATTATGTACATATGTTTCACAATTTTCAGTATGTCATTTTCCCTTGACTCGATTTATGCAAATAGAGTTGCGTACTAAATACTTGTGATCTTTCGTTTTTTCGTTTCTTCTTGGCCACGCCAATTAACAACATTCTATGACAGTTACATAAATTACAAATTCATCAAATATTACTTTATATTGCTTTATTTTATTATTAGACCACACATTATAAAAGATTTATATAACAACATTCTTTAGCAGTTATATAAACAACATTATATAACAATAACATAAATTACAATTCATTTGTAAAATTTATATACACTAGATAAACTAAATTTTATAACTATTATGTAAGCAAAGATATTACATGAGTGTTACTTAATGATTAACACACTGCATAAAGCTTCTGAACAGATTATCATTTTGTATGCATCAATTAAACAAAATTATTATGTAAGTCTTCCATAATGATTAAACACAACGTAAACCTTATGTAGTGATAGTTATTTATTGGTATCACTTAAACAAACGGATGAAATATGTTATTCCAATGATTAGTACACTACGTGAAATTATGTTTGTATCTTATATGATTAATTTGGTTGATTTCAAATAAATCATTAGTTTCTTACTTTGTTATCTTCTTAGACAACTACAATCTCCTCGCGCTATTAAGGTTGGGAGTTATGGGAGAGACCTCGTTTGCGATCGTGGCGATATGCTACCTAGGATCGAGCAAAAAGAAGCTTCATAGTGAGCCTATGCACCGTGGCTATTGTAGCCATCACGGTGGTGGTGATGGTGACGTATTTGCTCTTCGACGAGATCCACTCTCGTAGGAAGTTCGTGGGCATCATCCTGACCTGGTTTTCGTTCACCACACTCCTGTCGGTGGCATATGAACTAGTATGGTGGATCATAACAGTTATAAGTTACTTTTAATTTGATATATGCAGAGCATTATAAAATAAAATAGATAATTCATAACAGTTATAAGTTACTTTTAATTTGATATATGCAGATCCATCATGGGATAGCTTTTGGTGGGCATGTGACCATTTTTTCTCATCATAGGATATATGTACATCTCCCACCACCGTCGATACAAGGTGGGATTCAGTACGATCTTCTTTGTGCTGTTGAACCAACGTACCATACTATGTATGCTCCAACATGCCCTAAGGTAATTAAGACCATAATAACTTCCAAATTCATTCCATTCTTAAATAATATTTTTATTATTGTTTTATTTTATTATCAATATTGATTATCTTTTTCTTAGTAATTATTCGTAATTTTCATTATTCTGATAAGCCTTCGTCGCAAGGCTGACACTGCCGGCCCCAGCGAGGCCCTACGTGGAGAACGTCGGTAAACTAGAGGTGAAGTTGGGACCAGTAGCGATGCCTGATGTCGTCGAGGGTGCGCAACAAGCTGAGGAAGCAGTCGCGATGGAAAGTTTAGCTCAGAAGGCGACCAACTTGTGGGAGCTATACCTGAGCTTGAAGGATGAGCTAGCAAGGATTAAGGATCTCGTTTTCATCACCGATACAGAGCTACCATCGACATTGAAATTCCCTCTTCAATATGGATACTGTAATCTGTCCAACCGATGCAAAGTGTGGTGATCAAAGTTTCAGCTCCTCTCCGTCCATCTCAGCAATCCAGGCAAACAATCAATCACTCTTCACCTCCTTCCCTCTCTCCTTGTTCACTCGCTTGGCTTAATGGGTCTTGGGATTTTGGTTTCGAGAACTCTGTGCTAATCTCTTGCTCTGCTTCAGGAGTATTTTGAAGAGCTCTCAGCTCAGCAACCTACTTAAACAAATGAACTAGAGACTCAAGAAAACACAAGTGCTGGAGAATAATAAACATTAATTCTACTGGAGATATATAGATAAACTTCTGTAATGTATGTGACGTGAATAAACCTTCTTCTAAATTCTACACTACAACAGAGCCACTTTTACAACCATCACCTGTCAAGTTAGCCAGCCAAGCCATCCACCCCATCTCTTCCACTCCCTCAGATACCGAAACAAAACCAAAATAATCGTGCTAATTGTAATGCTTCATGATACAAAAATTCCTGCAACTTGCTCAAAGCCTCACCCCCATAAAAGAATCAATGGAAGTTGCACTGCTGCAACAAAGGATGAGAGTAGTCTACAAACTTCTCCCACAAAGGCTTATACTTCTCCATCCCAATCTTCAGCCATGGTTTGGAATTCCCATTGAAGTGCAACACAGCTCCTTTCTGGATCAAATGAGGGTCGACATTCGTGTACCCCAATCCCAACACATGCCACGTGGGATCTAAAGGCTCAGTCAAGCCATAGAAGGTCAGAAGCCCCGGTGGAAGCGTCCCGAGCTTCCAAAGCGTCCGGTCAACATTCTTCTCCTGCCAGTAGTGGTATATGGAAGTGACATTCCTTTTCCTCCACTCCACCAAATCAAACACATTCATCCCAAATGCCCACCCACAAGCATCTGGGTCAAAATGCTCTCTTATGAGCGGGTGGGAGTAGTTCAAATACTTATGGTACCTGTGAAATGTCTCCATGCATGTCTCCACCGCCCCATTCACATTGCCATTCAAATCAATCGAAAATAGGCCAGATAGATCTTTCTGAACAACCACATCGTCGTCGAGAAATACTACCTTATTCAATGCAGGAAACACTTCAGGAATATAAAACCTGAGATGATTCAGCATTGATAGGTACTTTGGATTCCTGAACTTGATTGGAGTTCTGTCATCATCATGATGACCCGAGAAGTAATAGCTTTGTGTCTCAGCATCCTGAAGCTGCTTCAGAACCGGAACGTATGAAGCATTCAGCCATTTGAAATCTTCAAACTTCTGAACCTCGACAGTCACTCCTTTAAACTGGGTCGTGCCAAACCAGGCCCTCATTGCAGCATAGTTGATTTCATCAGTTACTATATGGAAGACAAGTTGAGCTGGGTTCTTTGAATTAATGGATGTTGAATTGATTACTACTGAAGTAGCAATAATGTTGTCCGAGAAGACACAGAAATGATTGAGACTGTTGTCTCTGAGTTTTGCTTCCATTTGCATTCTCTCGTTGATCTTCTGCTGTAAGCTCAAGTTTCTGAACCACTCGGTAGTCAACCGTATACCAATGCAGTAAAGACCTTTTGGAACTTCTTCAGCGGCTATCTGTCCATATTTGGAACTCTTCTCGGTAACAGAACTCATTTGTTCTTCCAAAGCTTGAATCTTGGCTTTCAGTTTCATGATCATAGTTGCACTATCGTAGTGGAATTGCTGCCCTTGGAAGAGTAGAAGTGCCATGTCACGAATCGCAGTGTCGGATTCTCTAGTGGTTAAGGGGACTCGCCTTGTTGCAGCGGTCGAGAGAAGGACTTGGGAGTTCCGTATTTGAGCACTTAGCTCCCAAGCAAACTGGAGATTGTTGCTCTCTTTTGCAATCACCACAAAGGCTTTGGCAAGCGATATTTGGTCACTGAGCTGCCTGGTGACGGAATCAGGACTCAACATTTCATCCGTAACGTTCAGCCCTTCCATAACTTTCTCATTTCTAAAAGAGTTCTGCTGAAGGGGGGTAAAGGCAGAATAAAAGCAACAGAGATGAGAAGCCATAAAGAGTTGAACAGAAATAGTAAGGCATGCTGCAAAAATATAGACTAAGAATTCATGCCGGTTAATAAAAAGCAAATTCCTCTCTGCTTAACTTCTTTGAAACATATATCATATCTTCAATGAACTATGAGCTTGTGTGGAGAAACATAAGGAGCAACATTCTCCAGCTTATTGCTAGGTTGAAGGCATTATTTTGCAACTGAATGCACTAGATGTTCGATAACCTAAATTGTCACCCTAGTCTATTGCAGCATCTTCTACATCCTAATGAGTGTTTTACACTTCCTCATGGCTTTTGACACAGCCGAGGCAGTCTAATGTAGCCCTGAGCCTTGTTCAGTTTGCCTATACAGAATGCATAACTTTCACAATCTTCCACATTTAGAAATTCTCGCTTGTGTTTGCGTTCAAATAATCCAAATCCATACGGTAAGTGCATAAACGTACAATTCTCTTAGTTTACACTTTTCCTTTGCGAAATCAATATGATAATCCAAAGTTTGTTGCAAGGACATCATTATCATGACTTTTATGGATATAATTGAAATCTATGCCTGATAATTTAAGTTCATAATGTTCTGGTTTTTGGATAACACAAATTCTTTGAGGCAGTTGAATATAAACCTAACCTGCAACTCTTATCGTCACTGGCGAATTACATACTCCCACTTTCTGTAATGGTCCTAAACAAACCAAAAGAATACAGTATATGCACAGGTCGCCCTAATCACAAGGAACTTGACGAGAGAATCCACTCTCCAACAATGTGTCAGACAAAGTTGACTTCCTCAAATCTAAGACTTGAAACCTGCTCTGCAACCTAATGGAGCCAAACCACAGACAACCACCTGGTGAAGGATTCAATAAATATTATTCCTCAGGAAAATTCGCGACTCGGAACCCTAACCATAAGTAAAGTTGAATCCTACCGTGCTATAGAACATCCCAATCTAGCAAAACTACTTCTAGATCAAATCAAGTGTCCTACATACACACTAATCCAGCTTATATAGTTAGTTACAACAAGCTTTCTGCCAATGAAGAATGCTACCCAGGTTTAAATCAAGAGCTATTCTTAACCTTACTGGTTATCCCCACCACCCACATTATCCCAGAAACACATCAAACCACAAAGTTCCCACAACTGGAAATAGTTTGAACATACAAGCACATACCAACAAAGGAGGAGAACACACATAATAAAGCATAGATCTTTACCTTACTGATGATCGAATGCTTAGATTCAATTTGGCTCTCTTTGCTGAAAATCACTATAAACAAGAGCACAACTATTCCACATAGCGTCCACCACACCACATTCGATAACCTCCTCCTGACGGGCCGTCGGAAATCCACCGGCCTCCGCCTCATCTCCAATCCGCCCCACTTTCCACCGGTTCCCAGAAACCCGGAAATCGGTCTTCACGGCACCAAATCGGAATGGGTTCCAAAATAGTCGGCAGTGTAGAACGATCAGGAAGAATCGAAATTGAAGATCTGAAGAAGCCAGCTAAGGAAACCGAAAGCTAGGATAGTGAATTTGGTGGGTTCTTATTTGATGCGACGGATTTGACCGCTCAAGTATGAATGTGAGAGAGTGGAGGAACTGAAGAGAGGGCTTTCGCTGCCATAGGAGGAAGAAGGAGGAGGACAATTATACAGTTATGATGGTTACTCGTGATTTGGTGAAGCTATAGAATGGAATTTTCAGACTTTCATTCCTTTCTTTTAAAAATTATTACTATTGGCTGAAATAAATAGCGATTAAATATGAGGTTTTAAGAGATAATAATTTAAAAAATAGTTTAAGCTTTGATCATTGGAACAATTATAGCCATAACTGTTAATAAAAATATTTATGTTCTCTCACCACAAAAATGTAATTATTTTCAAAATTTCAAATAAATTGACAATTTTTTCAAAATTTCTGATTAATAAAACATTGACGATCAATCTTTTATAAATTTTGTTACTCATCCGAGACTAGTTTACGTGGTTGTTATGTTACTCATATTCGGTTAATTTAAAAATCTTACAAAATATCATGTCTTAACATGTTTAGAGTTTTTTATGGGCTAATTTCACTAAAACACACAAACTATAAATGAAAAAATTATTTCTACGATATAATATTCAGGGTATGCCTACTATGACATGCATGTCACCATAACATGCATTTTTCGGTCGACCTAATCCTGAAAGAGGTCGACCGAATTGACTAATTTGGGCAGCACGAGAAAGCATCGCGGTCGACCTGAAAGACCATCCGGTCGACCGTCCTTAGTTTAAGTTGTTATTTTTGGTAGACCACAATAAAACCTCGGTCAACCATTTCGTTGGTGTTAGAAACAACATGGTCGACCGTAAAGGTATATAGGTCGACCACTTGATGGGAGTCATTAACAACATGGTCGACCAGATAAAAAAAGAGGTCGACCAGATAGAAGATAAGTGTTCTATCAATTTGTCCAATCATTTGACGTAAAATGAAGATCAAGTATTGGTTTCGAGGTCGACCTAATCCGGTACGAGGTCGACCGAATACAAGAAAGTCAACCTATGCCCCGTGTCTTTTTTGCTTATGTATGTCGATTTGTGTGGTTCTTTTGCTCGTACAAATTATGTTTCAAACCATCATAACTAGTCATAAATAATGATAACAAGGACTCATCACTTTATAGCATAACAACTAAACAAACTAACAAGAAATACAATAAAACAGAAATCACAATTGTTCGCACATAAAAAAAAAAAACTAAAACAACAGAATAACAATCAACAATCATTTTGACCACTTAACAATAAAAACACACAATCTAAAATCTTCGAGTTCCTACTCATGTCCCCTCTCTCCCTCACCCACATTTTCTTCATTGGTGTTGCTAGCATGATGGTGGTCGGATGTGGTGGGATGCATGTATCTTCCACTGAAAGATCGCCACTCATCTCGCATCTCATTCACGGTCACCTGCATTGTGCTCATCTGGGAGCCCATTTTCCCCATGTAGTCATACATGCCAGTCATCTGGCTGGACATCTGGCCCATGTACTCGTACATGCCTTCCATGTGCTCCCACACACGCTCTAAGGTGACCGGTGGAGTTGAACTCTGTGCCTACGACATTGGCTCGTCTCCGGCTCCTTCATCACCATCACCATCATGGGCACCATGAGCATTGTTTATTCGGACTTACTCACCATTACGCAACTCAATGGCCATCTTTTTCATAGATGAAACTGTATAGAACTCCTGCCTTGAGATTCTTAACCCCACCTCGCCACTTAAATCCACATGAAAAATGCTCAAATAGCAAAGTCAGGATCATCCCATAGGGAAGATTTCGGTTTGAACTCTCTGCAGCAGTAAGCATGTGGTTAAAGATCAAGTATGTCAAGTTCACCTTCTCGTCTAATAGTAGGTTGGTGAGGAGCTCCATGTCGAAGTAGGTGATTGTCTCCCGATGTCCACCCTTTGGTAGAATGTTGTAGGAAAGCATGTTGCGAAGAACTCTGGCTTGAACTGTCAGGTGGTTACTCGTTGACCTACTGCGACCCTGAGCATCTTCCTCTTCATCAAGACCACATACCATCTGGATTTGCTTGGTTCTCGAGAAATGAGTTTCATTCCAAGCAGTGTAAGAATTGATTCTCTTCCCCTCGTTTGGAGCCTCTAGTACTTGCGCCAACACATTCTTGCTGATGCGCATCTCCACCCCATTCACATAGGTTTTAAATGCATGAATGGATCCATTTGCATTACGCTGGTAGACGATGTTGTTGTAGAAGTACTGTACCATTTTTGGGTAGTATGGTACATTCAGAGATATCACCTTCAGCCACTCTTGCTCGACAAAGGATCCTAGAAACCCGTAATTCTCGAAATGAGAATACGCATTCGTCGTCAATGGCCTTCCAGGAGCCACTCTGCAGTTATGCATTCTCCTCTCTTCAAAGTTGTTACTTTGCTCCTTGGTCTGGAACAGAGTGGCATTGAACTCTTCCCATTCCAAACTTGAGGCAGCAGCTTTTTATGACTTTCTTTTCTTTTTGTTGCCAAACATCCTGCGATCAAACAAGCGAGAATACACGTTAGTCACATTTTCGAAATGAACAAAACTCGGTCGACCACTCCATAAAGTGGTCGACCTAAAACTGCACGTACACATAAAACAAAACAATGTTAGGTCGACCTCTAAAACATCATAGGTCGACCTATACACGCCAATTGTCGAACACAGAAAATCAAGCACAAATATGGTTCGAAGATGGACAAAATTAGAGTGCAAAACATCATAGGTCAACCTCCCAATCAGAAACTGTCGACCTCAGTTAATTAAAAATGAGAATGGGTCGACCCAAACCCGTAACAATTGGAGTAAAAAAAACATAGGTCGACCTCAAATGAATCATAGGTCGGCCTCATCTAATTATGCACAAATATTGGTCGAACAAGAGGGCTAAAACTCGTAAAAACCGTCAAAGGTCGACCTCAGAAACATCATAGGTCGACCTCGGCAAATAGAAAACGAGTCTGAATGGCCCAAATGCTTAAAATGTTGAGTTTGAAACAGATTAGGTCGACCTCAAAATCACAACAGGTCGACCTCAGTTAGTTTCACACAAATAATTCGTAGGAGAATGACAAAACTCGTATTTTTGCCGTCATAGGTCAACCTCAGAAGCATCATAATTCATAGGTCGACCTCGGCAAATAGAAAACGAGTCTGAATGTCCCAAATGCTTTAAATGTTGAGTACGAAACAGATTAGGTCGACCTCAAAATTACAACAGGTCGACCACAGTTAGTTTCGCACAAATAATTCGTAAGAGAATGGCAAAAAACGTATTTTTGCCGTCATAGGTCGACCTCAGAAGCATCATAGGTCGACCTCAGCAAATAGAAAATGAGTCTGAATGGCCCAAATGCCTTAAATGTTGAGTGCGAAACAGATTCGGTCGACCTCAAAATTACAACAGGTCGACCTCAGTTAGTTTCGCACAAATAATTCGTAGGAGAATGGCAAAACTCGTATTTTTGTCGTCATAGGTCGACCTCAGAAGCATCATAGGTCGACCTCGGCAAATAGAAAATGAGTCTGAATGGCCCATATGCTTTAAATGTTGAGTGTGAAATAGATTAGGTCGACCTCAAAATCACAACAGGCCGATCTTAGTTAGTTTCGCACAAATAATTCGTAGAAGAATGGCAAAACTCGTATTTTGCCGTCATAGGTCGACCTCAGAAACATCATAGGTCGACCTTAGCAAATAGAGAACGAGTCTGAATTGCCCAAATGCTTTCAATGTTGAGTGCGAAACAGATTAGGTCGATCTCAAAATCACAACAGGTCGACCTTAGTTAGTTTCGCACAAATAATTAGTAGAAGAATGGCAAAACTCATATTTTTGCCGTCATAGGGTGATCTCAGAAGCATCATAGGCCGACCTCGGCAAATAGAAAATGAGTCTGAATAGGCCCAAAAGGCTTAAGATTTGGAATGCAAAAGGAAATCCGTCGACCTCAGCAACATCATAGGTCGACCTCAGACCCGGTCGACCATGGTAAGGAAAAGGTCGACCGATTCTGACGAACAGAACACAACATACTTCATTTTCCAGCTTAGATCTTTTTAAAAACCCAAAAACTCGTACAATATTGAGAGCAAAACGACACAGGTCGACCTCAGTTCATGAAACACGAGAATGGATCAAATGAAAGTCAGATGCGTTTCGACCACGAAGATTAATAGGTCGACCGAATCTGACAAACAGAAGGGAAAATCCGTCTTTTCCATCTTTAGAACTTTTTTTAAACAATCTAATCTACCAATGAAGAAGAGAAAACTCGAACCAAATGAAAGGAAGATTGAAATACCCACCTTGTTCTTCTTCTAAGTAGATGAGGATGAAATGGAATGGGCGTTTTGGTTCTTCTCCTTTGAGTTTTTTGAAATTGGAGAAGAAGATGAAGAAGGGAAAAGAGAGGAAGAATGAGTGGATGTGGTGGGATAGGGTTCTAATTGTGGTGTAAAATGAGTGGGGGAGGTTTCTTAAATAGAGGATTGGAGGATAGGTTTGGGTAGATGTTGTCATACAAACCGGTTTGGTCGGCCAAATTAAATACTCGGTCGACCGCTCAATTGGTTAGGTCGACCGTGTTTTTTATGAGGTCGATCGTTTTATTATGTTTGTTTATTTCAACCAACAATCAACTAACTCATAAATTATTAAGATAATTCAAAAAAAAAATACAATGCAATCACAGTTACAAAAAAATAAACTCCTAAAAAACAATAGAAGAAATTTAAGATTTCTTTTTGGGACTTTTTTCGGGCACTTAGGGCGAAAATGACCATATTTTCCACATTTCGAACACTTTCTTACGCTTTTGCCCGATGCAGTTCGTGCTGACTTGAATGTCCCCTTGGTCTTCCCAATTTTTGGATCTTTCACACTTCGAAGGGTTGCTGGAGGGTTTGCAGGTGCAGTGTTGTCCGTTCTCTCCCTCGAGAACTCAATTGCCCATTGAGTAAGGTTATCCAACGACTTAGAGACATGATTAAAAGCAACTTCACTACCACACGCGATGTCACACAAACGTTTACACTTTATAGACAATCCTCCATGTCTTATCAGTCGACCAACTTTCTCTCCCACATCACCTCCAACTCCAGCATGACGATTTAGTGTCTTCGCATTTTGGGTCCATCAAAGTTTGAACCACGTGGAGGGTAGTGCGGTGTATCCCATATTTTTTATTACTGTAAGCATATGTCTGCATGAAAACCTCTTAGATTCAAATAATGCACACTCGCATTTTAGATCTTGATTGGTCGTAGTAAATGTTAACCTCCTTATCTGATCCGGGTTCATGCAGTTTTTCAGAATGAATGTCTCTATCTCATCTTATTCATTTCTTCTCTCCGCTAATACATAAGAAGCTTCATTCTCTAGTTCAGACTTGAAGATAGCAAATGTATGATGTGTGTAGATACTTTCAGCTTGCATTTCCCATGTGTGAAGGGCATGCTTGCAGACCAGCCTCGTGTGCCTAGAAGAATAATCATCCTCCACCTCCGTGAAACGCATCCCCTCCAGTGCTTCATCAATGCCCTGAACAAAACGTTGCAAGCTGTATTGAGTTCCCACATACCCATTTATCCAATGGTTACATGACTCACATCGCGAGGTTGATTGGAGTACACCGAAATAAATATCCTTAAAGTATGCCTTTGCCCACAGTAATTTGCCAGCGTACAAATCCTGCAACCACTTATTTGCAGACAAACCATGCTCACTAATCAAATGCTCCCAGCGCCTCTCACACTCCTAAATCGATATACGTGCTTTCGCCAAGTAGGTGAATGCGCTAATGAACTCCCTATTATGAACGGTCGTTTTCGCATTTGTCTCAATATGCCAAATACACAGACGGTGAGGCACTCCAACCAGAACAATAGCAACGACACCACGCATAGACTTGCATCCGTCTATGATCACTGAAGTCGGCATCTTAGAGTTCATACACTCCAGAAAAGTATTCAACAACCAAACGTATTTGGGGATTGTCTCGTTATCCAACTTGACAACCATATATGATGTTATGGTGGTGGTGATTTACACCAACCATCATAACAAATGGTCGATTGTACTTGTTGCGCTTGTAGCATGCATTGAACGCCAAGACATCCCCAAAAAAAAATGGTAATTTGCTCTAGATGTGGAGTCCGACCAAGAGATTACTTAATTCACCTTCATCGTTGGTTGTGTACTTGAAGAATCTGCCCGCATCATATGTATGTTTACTTTGCAAGTAACCCAATGTTCAGTTAACATCTCCTATTAGATCGTCATCAACTGTTCAGGATTTCTGAACAACGTTATCCAAATCCTTGGAGTGTACCCCAGATTCTCATATCCTCCAACTTTATTCTTCATGAACTGAACAATATTGCGTTGTTTTATTCCCGACTGTCGCATCCCTATCGCTAGAGCCTTGTCTCATTCACTCACATTTCGATGAGACCGAAGGAATTGAGTTTCTTCTTCATTGCAACAACGATGTGAGTGCTTCCTCTCAAACTTAGAAACAACCCACATTTTCTTATTCCGATCAAAGCGTACAGTATATGATGCCTTGAAAGAATGTCTTGTCATCTTACGATGTTGTCGTGTCTGACCTTCTTTATCTATATGCACCTTCTCTCTAGTCCCCTCTCTCGAACATACCATTGTCCTCCCAATTGCTACTCCTCGACGACGACTCCGAAGATCTCTTACCGAAAACATATTTGGAAAAGACCACACATTTGGCTCTTTCACATCATGTTTTTCAGACATTGTTAGTGCCCTTGCACACAAATCCACCACCTACCATCCAACAATCAAACACAAAATCCTCGTAAATCATAACATAAATAGTGCATAATTCATACGAAAGTCGTAGTAGTATAGTACTTACGGATGAGTGAACCCAGCTACTCTCACTAATGACCGAACTCAAATAATTTTGTTGCACGTTTTCAGAATAAAAGTCAACAACGATCAAACTGCAAAAATCAAAATAGCATAAATGTCAATTGTGATTTGCAACGTACAGGTCGACCTGTTCACAGTCAAGGTCGACCTTATTGGCTAAACGGTCGACCTCATGAACTAAACGGTCGACCACACGTACTAAAAAAACGTCTCTTACTTGTCCCAATTCGCGTCCCCAGCCTTCTCTTTAGTAATAACATAATACAAATCTGCAACTAGATTTTGAAGATTTTTGGTGAATCCTTCTAGGCCCTCCACTTTCATGACCTACAAATCATAGTTAAAATTAAAGTAACATATGAACACAAACACACATTATAGATGAATATGTAACGTAAACTTACTCCTTGCTTTTCGAAAGGACTCTTAGATTCATCTTCGTCGCTATCAGCACTAAATAATCCTTTTCTTACAAAATGATCCTTCTGTGGAGTGGTGTAAGAGTCACTTTCATATCGAGGTCTCTTGTACTAAGGAGAGGAACCCTTGCTGCCATTCGTTGTTTCACTCTGCAAACATATAAACAAAACAAATTAGCACTAATGATAGTAATACTAATATCTTCAATCACATATGAATATACTTGTCTACCTTTAAATTGTGCTCTTTCAATAAATCATCTATGCTCTGGTAGCAATTTGCAGAGTCATCATGGTCTCCTCCTCTCTATCAAAGTCAAATTTCTTTCATGTACCATCTCTTCCTCCATTCTCCATTCGTTCTGCACTTATATCTTTGATAACACCTTCTAGCCTCTCAAACCCATCATGCATCATCCAGTCATATCTGTCAATCGAACTGACAATTGCTCCACTTTATCACGAATGGACTTCTGAAAGTCATTGACTTGTTTTTGACACACCACCAGCTGCTCTTGTGTGGCTTTCAACACTTTCATGATTTTACCCAAGTCTTGATGAAGTCTCTCATCATGCGTCATCGTCTAAACAATTTAAAGAAAAATTCAAATATTAATTCAACTTCAAATTTCTACAATTGACCAAAAAACAGAGACGTGGTCGACCTGACAAATTATTAGGTCGACCTGAAAGACAAATTGTGACTACCACAACCTTTAAGGTCGACATTTGATCTTCCTAGGTTGACCTATCCAGCAGGAAAATAACAATTAACCAACAAAAGCAAGTGCAATATTACACCGAAAAACGGATAGGTCAACCAGATAGCTTGAGCGGCTGATAGACCGTTAATTATACATGTTTTCACCCCTGTTCTTACACCGTTTGAGATGTGGTTTCTCATGTTTTAGACCGATTTCACGCTAGGTTGTGCTTGTTTGTGATATTTCAGGTCCTGGCAAGTGAATGAAGGTTTAGGAGCGAGTTCGGGGTCGATTGGGCGAAGATCGGGCGCGAGACAAGTAACAAAGGAGGTCACACGGGCACACCCACAACTCACACGGCCGTGCAAGTGACCACTTTGGCCGTGTGAGATTGTGCGAGAGTAAACACGGCTTGCCCTGATGTTCACACGGCCGTGTGAAGGAGTGGTTTGGCCGTGCGAGTTTCGCCGAGAGCAAACACGGGCAGATGGAAATCTCACACGGCCGTGCGACCCTAGCCGTGTGAGAAGGCCTGAAGATCGAACTAATTGGAACGCAGCGTTTTGACTCACATGGGCAACTGGGTAAGCCACACGGCCGTGCCACCCTGGCCGTGTGAGTCGGGATTTTCTGCTTTTAAGCAGATTTTCAGCCACAAGTCGAGGGGATTCGAGTTTTTGAGAGAGAGAGAGAGCGATTCCTAGAGAGAGAAAGCGACGAACAAGAGTCTCCAAGTGCCCTAGCTTGATCTTCATCACCATTGGATGCCAGTTTGAGCTTGGAGAAGTGCCGATCAACGTCCAGGAGCAGGAATCCATCCTTCACAGTATGAATTCCGCGTCTGATTCTGCTTTTGCTTCTTTCTCC